CACACACACACACACACACACACACACACACACACACACACACACAGACGAGTCATGCCGTTCACGCCACCGTAGCGGTCTGTCGCCTCGCTCGCCACCGGAATACCGCCTCTTCAGCTGCGGCGTCCGGTCCTGTGGCGCCGACGCCGCCGTGTCCCCCTCCCCCCCCCCATCACCACCACCACCCTTGTGGTACCTTTGTCACGCCAAGCGGGTCACGCTCGTGTGGTCCCCGTGCGACCAGACGTGACATGTGACAGGGTGGCGCCGAGCGCTACCTCGCGGTGAACATCGGTCTGTTGTTACACAGAAGCTAATGTGGGGCGCAGTGTTGTACATATCAGCTGATGTGTAGAGCACCCAGTGTATCGCATTTGACACAGTAAACGCCTGTATATGTAAAGCACTTGGTGATAGAGCACCTTGTGATCTATCTCGATTTCCTTACCTGGTTTCCAATAAGAAACTCTCTTGGAGATGGTCAAAGTGAAAGAGACCCGCGTGGGAAACCAAGTAAGGTTTGCACCGTGCATGATCATTCGTGATACCGAAGCCGAAAAATGCGGATACATTCCCTGAATCACGCTGACGCACTGACAGGCTGAAACAACAGGTGGAGAAGCTCCCGACAAAAAAGGGGGAAAATCCTTCCAAATCAAAGAAAAAGACGATTCGCTCTCGCTCCTCGCTCGAAACGGCTTTAAAACGAGACTAAAAAAAAAGAGAAGGTAACCGTCGGAAAGGTGGGCCGGTGACCCCTTCGGTGCACGCCAGACGCGGGGCAGCAGAGTCGAAGCCCTCATCGAGCAATCGAGCACCCAGCTGCAATCTCGCTCTCAAAGTTATAAATCAGAGATCGTATTAAGCTATTTTAAAAATAATGCGAAAAATAGTAGCGAATGAGCGAATCCCATGTGGCATTTTTTCACAGACCTCTCTCTCTCTCAAGTAACTTAACCTTGTTACTGGTCGAGTTAAGATGAAGTGCCGAAGGGAGAAGGCCCACCGGCCCACCTACCACTTGACTACTTGATAATTAGTGTTGCTTTGTATCGAAACCCTCCGGATGTCGCGAAACATACGACGGCGGCGACGGGGTGGGACGGGGGGCATTGTGAACGCAGGCTAGGCAGCAGGGCCCCACAGGACGAAGGGGTCGGCTGATGAGCCAACGCGAGTAGATGCCCTCGTCGTGTGGGTGTTCCGTCACCGCCGACATGCCGCTGGACACAATGCGACGGCGAAGAAGGTACCTCGAGGTACCACGAGGCACCTTCTGTCTCCCACACTGCCGGCAATGCCATTTGCTCTGCAGAAAACAGAGACTACCTAATTTGGGTAGAGTTCCTTTTATCAGTGATTAACGCGGATGAAGCGCATTCATCAGCAGTGATGATAACCGTCAAGGTCCCCCTCAAACAAATGAAGGTCCGCCCGACGGAAGGTTGCGAGGGGGAACGCTGTCGGTCGAAGCCCAGGCCCTTTATTTTTAGGCGCTCGGGGCGGGCCGCCAGCTCCGCACGGCTGTCTGACGGGTTTGCCTACCCATCGCGTTGCAGGCGCTCTGTCACCGCGGTGTCGCCACGGCAAACATCGTTTAGTGTTGTGGAGGGGGGATAAACGGACGTAAATATCCCGTTATTGAAAGATGAAACTAATAGAATAGAGCCCCCCTGGATTTTAAACGCACCCCTGAAGCGGTTTAGCCCGAGGAGCAGTCGATTAATATAAATTTAAGCGTGCCCTATTTTTTCGGTTTCCTCTGGATTTTCTGAAATATTTCGCTGACTTTTTCTGACTATCTGATTATTCATTATGATTATTTCCTGAGTTTTTTTGGAGGGTTCGTTTGCCTTTCCTGCTGTTCGAGCGTCTCCATGAGCAAGAGTGTCCCCTGTAGTTAGAGCGCCTCTTCCAGTTATGCGGGCACCTCCTGGATTTTGAGTGCGCCACCCTATCGTCTCGCGGACACGCTGCCTGCACCACCACTGAGCTGACGACACCAAGGTTTACTCATGGTTCTCATCCCGCTGGTTGTCACTTTCCTCCCTCCCCTTCCCTCCAGGAGTTAGAGCGCCCCCTGAAGTTAGAGTCCCCTGGAGTTAGAGTGCCCCCTGAAGTTTAGAGCGCCACCTGCAGTGCGAGAGCGCTACACCAAGCTCGTCTGATTCCTCTCAGTATCACTTCCCTATAGGCGTCAGAGCGCCCCCCGTGGAGTTAGAGTGCCTCCTCGAGTTACGGGGCGCCTCCCATGGAGTCCGAGGCGCCACCCTCGCCACGCGGACACGCTGCCTGCGCGCGCCACAACACCAAGGCTCGCCTGATTCCCCATCCCGGCGGCGGGTGTCACTTCCCTCGTGTCCGCTCGTGTCCCCGCGGCGGCGTCCGTGGGAGCCGTCCTCGGGCCGGCCTGGGCTCAGACAATGGGCCGTCCACCTCGTCCACCTCAGAGCGTCGGCGCGCCGGACTCGCGCGGACACGTGAACATGAGACCGCAACAGCAGTCCGTTACAGCGGACCGTGCCGACGAAAAAAAAGCAAGAGAGATGAGAAAATGAGGGGGGAAGAAGTGTCAACGCTAACGTGACAGCCGGTTATTTTTATTTTTTGACGCACGGTGGCGTTTAGCTTCTTAATTTCAACCTCTCACGACGAACCCGCGGAGAACCTCTCTAAGACACGTCACAAACAACAGTACACAAGCTGCTGATACCAAACGTAATCATCTGCTACAAAAAAAGAAAAGAAAGAAAAACCACACGGAAAAGAAACAAATAAACGCACTCAGGGAGGAAAGAGGGAGGGGGGCAATGAAGACAACGGAACACCGGCATTAAGCCTCGGGAGCCCGACGCGCACGTCTCTACATCATTCCGCTGCTGGGCACTCAAATCGGTTCAAACAGCACTCGCATGACGTGATCACACAGCGCGCGCGCGCTCACGCACACAGTATGCTGGTTGTTCGACTGGTGTGGACGCCCTTCTCGCCCTGTGCCCCCACTCCGCTCCTTGGCCCGGCATATCACTACAATCAATTCCGCGCACGGGTTTCACTTTGCGTCGGGATTTTAAAGTCCGGAAAATTTTCCCGGGGAGAATTGGAAACTCTTCCAGAAATATATAAAAGCCATTGAATCGGTCAGAATACATTGAAATATTTTTCAGAAAAAATTAGAAAAAAAAAACCTTTTAGGAAGAGATTTAAGAAGAGAATATTGAAAAATTTACCAGAAATTTAACGGAATATTAAAATCTCACAAAGGGGTTTAACGGCAAATTCACGTGACTGAACTGTACTTCTCCGTAAAATCCCAGAGATGATTTTTTAACCACGTGTTGTGAAAAAGGTCCAGAGAGTCCCGCCTCTACGGCGTGAACGAATCCGGGATATGTTCGGAACATCATCTCACAGCATCTCTCCTCCTCATCCCATACATCAAGTGGTTCATCACGCAGATGTGTTGTATGGCCCGCTTGCGGTCCGCCGCCTTGGACCGCCGCCTTGGCCGTCGCGGCGACCCTGGCCGTGACCACGACGTTGCGTCCCTGACCCGACCGCCGCCAGGAGAGGAGAAGGAGCTGCTGGCTGGGTGCGCCGCCGGCGCGCGCGAATTTTGCGGCCGAGCCTCATGTGGGCAATCAGGCCCCCCTCCCTTTTCCTCCAACTAACAGTACGCCCCGGCTGCCAGCAGCCAGCCGCCCGCCCGGGCTGGAGGCGCGGATGGGTATAACTACTTCTCGGTTGGCTTGGTCAGCTCGCCGGCGCACGCAACCGGTCCGCGTCCAGGGTCACGACGACGACGAGGCTCTCGCCCGCCGTGTCACTGTGGCTGCGGTCCGCGGCGGCGGCCCCGGATGTGCGCGAATGTGGACGACGACATCCTGGCCCCAATGTAGGATTATGACGCCCCACCGAAACTTTCTCTCTGCCGAATTGCCCACTATCGGCGCGGGCCGGGCCGGGTCCGGACGGGTCGTTATTCGCACTCGCACTTTGGCGAGTAGTATTGGGCCCGGCGGGGCGGAGGCGCGATTCGGGCCGTGGGTAACTGTACGTCCGCGATGTGGGCCGAGCCCGCCCCCCGCCCTGCCCCGCCCCGCCCCGCCCCGGGCTGATGAGGACTTTCTACGCAGTTTTCGGCGCAACTAACAACACCTTGCGTCTCACGTGATCATCCCGTCCGCACAACCGTATACTTTGATGGAGTACGTCTCCCCGGTCCCAGGTCTGAACCACCCTAGTAACCCCTCGTCCGGTCCCGTCTGTTGCAGATGCTGCTGCGGATGCTGCTCGTGCTGGTGCTGGCGCTGGTGCCGGCGCCGCCGGCGCGCGCCGCGCTCTACCGCTCCACCAGGTCGGACCAGTTCTACTACAACCGCTACGGCGGCGGCTACACGGCGGCCTCCGGCTGGCCCGACGCCGGGGTGGGCGGCGGCGCCCTGGCGCCCAGCTGGGACCGGCCCGCGGGCCCGCCCGGCGCCCTGGGCCCGCCCGGCGCGCCGCCCCCGCCCCCGCCCGGGGACCTGGGCCCGCAGGCCCGGGACGCCGGCTACCGCGGCAACGGCTACGACAACCTCGCGGGCGCCCCCGCACCCGGCGGTTGGGGAGGCCCCCCGGGCGGACCCGCACCGCCACCGAGTAAGTCGACTCGGTGCTCGCCGTCGAGGAGTCCGTCGAGGCCGTGCAGTGACCGTGCTCTCCTTTGCAGGTGCGGCGCGCGCGGGGACCTGGCGCGGCACGGGCGTCTGGGACTACGGCAACGGCGGCCCGCCCGTGGGCGCGTGGACCGGCTCCGGCACCTGGGACGCGGAGCGCGGCCACTTCGTCGGCGACGTCTGGAAGGGCCCGCCACTGGCCGGTGGTGTGGCCGGGCCCCCGGGCGGCGACTACGGGCAGACGTGGACCATGGGCTCGGCGGGCGCTGACTGGAGCCGGCCGCCGTCCGGGTACAACAGCCACGGGTCGCCGCTCGGCCACCAGGGCGGCAGCGCCCCACAGTCCGGCGGCTACACGCCGTGGGCGCCCGCACCCCCGCAGGGCGGCCAGGGCAGCCACGGCGGCCCCGGCCAAGGCTACTACTACTACTACGTGGACAACAACAAGCCCAACCCTGCCTACGGGGGCGGCGGCGGCGGCGGTGGAGGCGGAGGTGGCAGCTGGGGCAGCGGTGGCAACTACGCCTCCGGCTGGAACAACTACGGCTCCTCGAGCAACTACGGCTCCTCCTCCGCCCACGGCACGGCCTGGGACCGCTGGGACCAGCAGGGGTAAGTCTTTGCAGGAGCAGGTCGGCAGCGTCCTGAACATCCCGAGCAATAATGCACTGATGCTGGCTCCATGTCGCAGGGGCTCCGGTGGCAGCGGGTACCGCCCGAGCAGCAGTGGCAGCGGCGGGTACCGTCCTAGCGGCGGCAGCTACTCGTCCAGTGGAGGCAGTTACTCGTCGGGGGGTAGCGGCCACCACTCGGGAGGCAGCAGCTACCCGTCTGGAGGGAGCGGATACCAGTCTGGGGGGAGCGGCTACCAGTCTGGAGGGAGCAGCTACCCGTCCGGGGGGAGCGGCTACCAGTCTGGAGGGAGCAGCTACCAGTCTGGAGGGAGCGGCTACCAGTCTGGAGGGAGCAGCTACCCGTCGAGCGGCAACAAGTACCCATCAAGTGGAAGCAGCTACCCCTCTAGTGGCACCAGTTACCCGCAAGGAGGAAGCAGTTACCCGTCCAGCGGTAGCAGTTATCCTTCGGGAGGCAGCAAGTACCCGTCGGGCGGTAGCAGCTACCCGTCCGGGGGAACTTCTTATCCATCGAGCGGAAGCAAATATCCATCGGGTAGCAGCAGTTACCCCTCTGGAGGATCAAGTTACCCCGCTGGAGGAAGTAGTTATCCCTCTGGAGGATCAAGTTATCCCGCTGGAGGAAGCAGTTATCCCTCTGGAGGATCAAGTTACCCCGCTGGAGGAAGCAGCTACCCTTCTGGAGGAACCAGTTATCCCTCTGGAGGTTCCAGCTACCCATCAGGAGGAAATAGATACCCCACAGGAGGCAGCAGCTACCCTTCCGGAGGGAGCAGTCACCCCAGTTACCCAGTAGGCGGCAGCAGTTACCCTGTCGGAGGAGGTAGTTATCCCGCTGGAGGGACCAGTTATCCGCCAGGTGGAAGCAGTTATCCGGCGGGTGGAAGTGGTTATCCGGCTGGAGGCAGCAGTTACCCCCCAGGAGGGAGCAGTTACCCCTCTGGAGGCAGTAGTTATCCTCCGGGTGGCAGTTGGTCCTCCAGCTCTTACCGTCCGCCGGGCCCTCCAGGCCCCCCGGGAGGAAGCTATCCACCCGCCACCGGCAACCCGAGGTACCCTCCCGCCGGCGCTGGCGGGTACCCACCGGCGGGCGCAGGCTACCAACCCCCGTCCGGCGGCGGCTACTACCCGCCGGGCGGTGGCGCGGGCGGCTACCTGTCGGACAGGCGCGTCTACAACTACAACCCCAACGACGGCTACTCGCGGGCGCCCGTGGGCACGGGCCCATCGCTGCCCCCGGGTCCACCACCGGGGCCTCCGGGGCCTCCGGGACCTCCCGGACCTCCGAACAGGTACCCGGGCGGCGGGCAGGCCACGGCGGGGACGTGGATACTCGTGGCCGGTTCCGGAGGGTATTACCCCGACCAGCGGCCGGGAGGATCGGGAGACTATCCCAGTCAGCCGGCACCTTACCCTGGACCTCAGCCGTCAGGAGGATACCCAGGCAGCCCACCCCCGGGGGGTAACTGGTACCCAGGGTCGGAGCCGGGGCGTTACCCCGACAGGCACCCGGGCGGATACCCGGAGCAGCAGCCTGGCGGTTACCCGGACCGAGGAGGCTACCCTGACCGGGGTGGCTACCCGCAAGGGGGTGGCGACAGGTACCCAAGCGGAGGCGGGGGCGGCGGATACCGAGTGCAAGGTAACTACCATGAAACAGGCTACCCTCCGGCCGACGGGCATGGCTATGGGAACGGAGGCGGTGGCTACGGCGGCGGAGGCAGCGGCGGCCACCATGGCGGCGGCCACCATGGCGGCGGCGGGGGCGGCGGGTACGGCGGCAGCGGGGGTAGCAGCGGAGGTGTCAGCGGGAGCGGCGTCTACTACCTGGACCGCGAGAACCCGCACTACCACCCGCAGACGGGAGGCACAGGTAGGTCCGCAGAGCTTGCGCTCGCTTCTCAGGCGCCTGCGCCGTAGGCAACCCAACCTACTGCACTGGCCGCCTGGCGACCAGCCTGGTGGCCCACCCCTCGATCCACCCCGCGCACCAACGCTAACAAACCAAACCCAGGGTCATTCTTTAAGGGTGGGACACCTTTTCAACTTCTCTTAATGGAAGCTCAGTGTAGAAAATGTGTGTGGTTTGGATGTCATGACAAATGAACCCCCAAGTGGTAACCGGTTGGATAATCTTGTATAATTTATTTATCATGACGTCTACAACAATAAATATACCTAATCTATGGCCCTGGACTGAATGAGAGAGCGGTCAAAAAAGTATCCCACCCTTAGAAAAGGGTGCAATTTGTGTATGAGCCCTAATAAGAGACTCTGGTAACCCCCCCCCCCCCTCCCTCTTTTCACTTGATATCATTTTTTTGCTTTGAGTTTCGGCTCTGCTTCTGTGTATGTATTGTTCTTGTGTGTGTGCCGAGGAGATGCCAGGGGCCACTGATGTGTGTTCACTTGCCTTGCGTGCGTGCATGCGTGCGTGCGTGCGTGCCGGCCTGCATGTGGGGCTGCTCTTGCATATGCATGCATTGGACTGCATGGACGTCGTGTTTTGTGTCTGCAAAATGGATTTAAAAAATAAAAAAAATGAAAATACAAAACGAGGCGCGAGTGGCGTCGTCCGTTCCGCCTGGTCGGCCGTCCGTCCGTCGAGGTGCCCGTCGAGGTAAAGCAGTGGGTGTTATTCATGAGCGTTGGTGGTGCGCTCGCGTGCCTCACGCTCACTGGTGCACGCTCCGCTCAACCTCGCCTCGGGGCGTGACTCGGGGAGGTCCGGACGGTGTCACGCCGGGTGCAGCAGGTGCGCGGCAGGTGCGCGGCAGGTGCGCGACGCGAGCAGTGACCACAGATCGTTTGCCCCAAAGGGATCTACCCTGCCCCTTACGATCCTCTCATCAATCGTCATGGGGTAGCTCCAGGTAGCGGCTCCGGCTCCGGCTCCGGCGGGGGCGGCGGCTCCGGGGGCGGCGGCTCCACCACCTCCAGCACTCCGGGGGGCGGAGGAGGAAGCAGCTTCTTCCAGGTGCGTTCCGATCGGATCTCTGTGCAGTGAGTGAGGAGGGGACACGGGACTATCGACGAGGGAGAGCGCACGGCGGAGGTGTGCAGCCAGGTGACGACAACATGGGGTTTGGGGGGGAAGTCCCACTGGGGGAAGGCGGCCGAACTGGATTCGACATCGCGTTTCTGTCACGTCGAAGTTGTTTCGACCAGCGTTCCTAAGTGGGGCGGGTGGCCCAATGGACAGAAATTTGTGACGTTGACATCAATTTGGCCAGTGGCGTCATATCGATACCATTGTGACCAAATTTCTGTCCCTTTGGGTGCAGCTTCAGCACACCCCAAGTCACCCCCTCTGCTGTGCTGTAGGAGCGGCACTACTAATTCGTCGTCTGTCTGTCTCTTTCTCTCTCAGGGCACCACCAAGTCGTACTTGTACGACCGGAACAAGGACGGCACGCCAAGCGCGACGACGACCAACGGCGCCGAGTCCGAGTCCACGCCGGCCGCCGACACCTCGGAGAGCACCGCGGGCACCAAGCCCGAGTCCAGCAGCAGCACGTCCAGTTAGCCAGGGTGGCTCCAGACGTCGGCGTATCCTATAAATATTCCATCATCGAAATCTTTGGGAACGTAGAATGCTTTTCTTCAGAGATAAACACCGATCCCCAGAAGGGACCCAAAGAACACGACCTTGTGCAAATGTCATCAAATTGAGGTCAATGACCGAAAATTGGGCCGTTTTGAGAGTACCTTGATGGCAATTTCACATCATTTGACAGTCAATCGCATGAAATGTCATCAAGTTTTCATCAAAGCAGGCTTCAAAACTTACCACATCTTGACTTTGACCTCATTTTGATGTCAATCTAACATTCGTGTGTTTGAAAGCTCTCTGAAAGGAAAATTTGTGGAGACAGCCTCCAGAATAAGGTCGAATCAGACACGCAGCTTCTTTGTCTGGGCTCGAGTTCTCCCCTGTTCGTCGCCTGGCCTGTCTCTGCGTCGGCTAGCGAGTACCTCGGCTAAAAAAAAAAGTCTCTTCGAAGAGCAGAACGGTTTGGCAAAACTCACAAAAAGAAAATGATGCTTGTTTGCTGTGTTTGCGCAAAGAGCCTTTGAAATGGCAACGAATGTGTGGTGGGTCCTGATCTCATAAGTTTAAAAAGTAATATTTATTTATGCGTGTAGCTTTTGCCATGTAACTCCTAATAAAATTCTTTGATCAACTTTGACAAGTAGAATAGACGTACAAGTGCAATATTGACATAAGTCATGAAAAATTATGTTAGATAATAAATATTCAATCATAAGGATGAATTAAAAGAATAAAAAGTTATTCATTCAATGTAAAGGATTAAAGCACATTTATTGTCCAAAGTCTGTAATTATAATTTAACAGCAAGTTTCCTGCAAGAACAAAAAAAATCAACAAAAGTCAACGTAAACAATTTGAAACAAGAAGTGCAGTTTCCTGTAAGGCACAAAAAATGGTAGATATTCTAACTTTAGCAGTCAGAAGACTGGCCCTCTAAATCTGACAATTAGTACCAAAAAGGTAAGTGGAGTGAAATGTCTATTCCAAAAGCAAGTCCAATGCTGGCAGTGTGGGAGATAACACAGTGAAATGGGATACACTATTATAAAAAGTGGTGATATAATCAGTCTCAAGCATCAGCATCACTGACTTTCCAATTAATAAGTAATTGATTAATCAACATTGAGTTTAAAACCGACAAAAAATATAGATTACAAATTCAAGTGTATGGTGTGTGTAATTAGGAGCTTAAGAGAGCAACAATCAAAAGAAGAGCTCTTACAATCACTCTTGGCTTGCTTTCCTAAACTGCAATCAAAGCACAGTGCTTACTAAAAATTAATTACCAAAATAGGGTAAAACTTGACTACGTGGCTACTGCAATATGAAATGTACTGGTACAGAATCATTTGATGAGTGCCATATGACAAATACAGGATTTTTCTCCACTAAACTGTAAACACTATCAAGTTACCCAGGGCTTCCAATTCAACTAGGCTAGCAAAAGCTAACATAAATATACATCTTAAAATAATTCTTACACAACTAAGATATTAAGTGCTAGAGCACAAAACATTACCCATTTCCTAGGGTTCAGGTACATAATACAATTGAAAGTGCATGAATAGATTCAGCTAACAGCAGAACTTAAGATTAGTTGCACAGAAGACTGCTTAAAAATCTGACAAGGCTAGAACAATAGGGAATAACTGTTTAATTGATTAATTAAAAAAGAAAGGTTTCTACTCATTGCAAATTCTTAGTTACAAACTGCTGTTCTTAAAGATAATATATCAAAGAAATATACTCCACTAGAACAAAGTTTCCATCATAAGATGTGCACTAATGCACACACTGATCATCTTAACAAATTACAGACCATCAATCTACCATTTGTAATGCTGCAGACATGAGACAAGACACAGTTGGATCAGAAAGTAAAGACTAAATTGAATACAAAGAAAGACTGAAGAGAAGGAAAAAGTAAGGAAAAACTAATTGAACTAGACAACAGACAGAAGACACTAGTAAGTAATAAAAATGCACAAATGCAATAAAAATTTCTCTGAAACAAACTTGACCAAAGTAAAAGGGATGAAATTTGGGGATTTTCAACAAATTGTTTTAAAAGGGGAAAGGGAGGGGAGGGTGTAAATGAAAGCTTCAAAATCTGCAGTGTAAACAAAACATTGACTTGCAATATTACAATTGACAAATATGAACCTGTCATGCTAGATGATCAAGGTTTATCCACCCAAATTTATAAGCGTATCAACATACTGACGTCACAGCAAGAGTAAAATAAAAAATCAAAAAAACCCTCACTTAAGAATGTGCTACCAGTAACTATTTCTTGCCATATCTGACATTATTTATTCTTCTTGGTGGGTTCCATTGTAAACAGGTGGGGTCTACAGTCAAACGAGGTCTCTTGAAATGGGACGATTTGATGTGTTCCTCGACTAGCTTAGGTGTAACACATATTACATGTTGTCCTTTCCAATACTTAACCATGTTCATTGATTGTAAGGTAGATATTATATCAGTTTGAGCAAAACTTGTCATTTCACTGAAAAGAGGAAAAATCAAATATGATAAGTGATGCAGTAACAAGTATCAGTGAAAACAATTACATTTGCTACACAGATTCATACCTCAGATCCTTAATTGACAAGGTGCCTCGAAAATCTCGCAGGATTTCAAGCAATACCCAAGACCAGAAACTGCGATAACTGAGCTTTCCCAGATCAGAGAGAGGCTTTTCTGGACTACCAACAACACCTTCGTGTTTGCTCAGTTCATAACTAAAAGCTATGAGCAATTTACCGTAACCTTGCCTTTGGTATGGAGGTAGTGTAAGAATGCATGCCACATTATTACCATCGGGCGACTCCTTTTCCTATAGCATAAGGTTGAGGTGTTACTAGTACCATTATGTCATTTAAACAATAACTTAAACCAATTTCTTATGTTTGTTTACCTTGGAGAAATAGCCAACAAGGTGAGAGCCATGCTTATCAATATCACACAAAATGTAGAACAGAAAAGGTTCTACATCAAAGTATAATGTTTTGTGGTCAAGGAATAATTTGGCCAACAGACACAAGCTTTGACAATATACTTTAAACTGGCTACCATCTGTTTCCCAAATAGATAAAGTTCCTTTGCGGTAAATTTCTTTTCCTGGAGGTTGCCTTGCAGTACATTCACTCTGCTTTAAAAGAAGAGATTTAGGAAAAATTGAAGAGAAATTTTAAAAATATAACTAATATTTTCAAAATAAGCATTTATCTTACCATGTGATACCTCATATCGATACCATTGTGACCAAATTTCTGTCCCTTTGGGTGCAGCTTCAGCACACCCCAAGTCACCCCCTCTGCTGTGCTGTAGGAGCGGCACTACTAATTCGTCGTCTGTCTGTCTCTTTCTCTCTCAGGGCACCACCAAGTCGTACTTGTACGACCGGAACAAGGACGGCACGCCAAGCGCGACGACGACCAACGGCGCCGAGTCCGAGTCCACGCCGGCCGCCGACACCTCGGAGAGCACCGCGGGCACCAAGCCCGAGTCCAGCAGCAGCACGTCCAGTTAGCCAGGGTGGCTCCAGACGTCGGCGTATCCTATAAATATTCCATCATCGAAATCTTTGGGAACGTAGAATGCTTTTCTTCAGAGATAAACACCGATCCCCAGAAGGGACCCAAAGAACACGACCTTGTGCAAATGTCATCAAATTGAGGTCAATGACCGAAAATTGGGCCGTTTTGAGAGTACCTTGATGGCAATTTCACATCATTTGACAGTCAATCGCATGAAATGTCATCAAGTTTTCATCAAAGCAGGCTTCAAAACTTACCACATCTTGACTTTGACCTCATTTTGATGTCAATCTAACATTCGTGTGTTTGAAAGCTCTCTGAAAGGAAAATTTGTGGAGACAGCCTCCAGAATAAGGTCGAATCAGACACGCAGCTTCTTTGTCTGGGCTCGAGTTCTCCCCTGTTCGTCGCCTGGCCTGTCTCTGCGTCGGCTAGCGAGTACCTCGGCTAAAAAAAAAAGTCTCTTCGAAGAGCAGAACGGTTTGGCAAAACTCACAAAAAGAAAATGATGCTTGTTTGCTGTGTTTGCGCAAAGAGCCTTTGAAATGGCAACGAATGTGTGGTGGGTCCTGATCTCATAAGTTTAAAAAGTAATATTTATTTATGCGTGTAGCTTTTGCCATGTAACTCCTAATAAAATTCTTTGATCAACTTTGACAAGTAGAATAGACGTACAAGTGCAATATTGACATAAGTCATGAAAAATTATGTTAGATAATAAATATTCAATCATAAGGATGAATTAAAAGAATAAAAAGTTATTCATTCAATGTAAAGGATTAAAGCACATTTATTGTCCAAAGTCTGTAATTATAATTTAACAGCAAGTTTCCTGCAAGAACAAAAAAAATCAACAAAAGTCAACGTAAACAATTTGAAACAAGAAGTGCAGTTTCCTGTAAGGCACAAAAAATGGTAGATATTCTAACTTTAGCAGTCAGAAGACTGGCCCTCTAAATCTGACAATTAGTACCAAAAAGGTAAGTGGAGTGAAATGTCTATTCCAAAAGCAAGTCCAATGCTGGCAGTGTGGGAGATAACACAGTGAAATGGGATACACTATTATAAAAAGTGGTGATATAATCAGTCTCAAGCATCAGCATCACTGACTTTCCAATTAATAAGTAATTGATTAATCAACATTGAGTTTAAAACCGACAAAAAATATAGATTACAAATTCAAGTGTATGGTGTGTGTAATTAGGAGCTTAAGAGAGCAACAATCAAAAGAAGAGCTCTTACAATCACTCTTGGCTTGCTTTCCTAAACTGCAATCAAAGCACAGTGCTTACTAAAAATTAATTACCAAAATAGGGTAAAACTTGACTACGTGGCTACTGCAATATGAAATGTACTGGTACAGAATCATTTGATGAGTGCCATATGACAAATACAGGATTTTTCTCCACTAAACTGTAAACACTATCAAGTTACCCAGGGCTTCCAATTCAACTAGGCTAGCAAAAGCTAACATAAATATACATCTTAAAATAATTCTTACACAACTAAGATATTAAGTGCTAGAGCACAAAACATTACCCATTTCCTAGGGTTCAGGTACATAATACAATTGAAAGTGCATGAATAGATTCAGCTAACAGCAGAACTTAAGATTAGTTGCACAGAAGACTGCTTAAAAATCTGACAAGGCTAGAACAATAGGGAATAACTGTTTAATTGATTAATTAAAAAAGAAAGGTTTCTACTCATTGCAAATTCTTAGTTACAAACTGCTGTTCTTAAAGATAATATATCAAAGAAATATACTCCACTAGAACAAAGTTTCCATCATAAGATGTGCACTAATGCACACACTGATCATCTTAACAAATTACAGACCATCAATCTACCATTTGTAATGCTGCAGACATGAGACAAGACACAGTTGGATCAGAAAGTAAAGACTAAATTGAATACAAAGAAAGACTGAAGAGAAGGAAAAAGTAAGGAAAAACTAATTGAACTAGACAACAGACAGAAGACACTAGTAAGTAATAAAAATGCACAAATGCAATAAAAATTTCTCTGAAACAAACTTGACCAAAGTAAAAGGGATGAAATTTGGGGATTTTCAACAAATTGTTTTAAAAGGGGAAAGGGAGGGGAGGGTGTAAATGAAAGCTTCAAAATCTGCAGTGTAAACAAAACATTGACTTGCAATATTACAATTGACAAATATGAACCTGTCATGCTAGATGATCAAGGTTTATCCACCCAAATTTATAAGCGTATCAACATACTGACGTCACAGCAAGAGTAAAATAAAAAATCAAAAAAACCCTCACTTAAGAATGTGCTACCAGTAACTATTTCTTGCCATATCTGACATTATTTATTCTTCTTGGTGGGTTCCATTGTAAACAGGTGGGGTCTACAGTCAAACGAGGTCTCTTGAAATGGGACGATTTGATGTGTTCCTCGACTAGCTTAGGTGTAACACATATTACATGTTGTCCTTTCCAATACTTAACCATGTTCATTGATTGTAAGGTAGATATTATATCAGTTTGAGCAAAACTTGTCATTTCACTGAAAAGAGGAAAAATCAAATATGATAAGTGATGCAGTAACAAGTATCAGTGAAAACAATTACATTTGCTACACAGATTCATACCTCAGATCCTTAATTGACAAGGTGCCTCGAAAATCTCGCAGGATTTCAAGCAATACCCAAGACCAGAAACTGCGATAACTGAGCTTTCCCAGATCAGAGAGAGGCTTTTCTGGACTACCAACAACACCTTCGTGTTTGCTCAGTTCATAACTAAAAGCTATGAGCAATTTACCGTAACCTTGCCTTTGGTATGGAGGTAGTGTAAGAATGCATGCCACATTATTACCATCGGGCGACTCCTTTTCCTATAGCATAAGGTTGAGGTGTTACTAGTACCATTATGTCATTTAAACAATAACTTAAACCAATTTCTTATGTTTGTTTACCTTGGAGAAATAGCCAACAAGGTGAGAGCCATGCTTATCAATATCACACAAAATGTAGAACAGAAAAGGTTCTACATCAAAGTATAATGTTTTGTGGTCAAGGAATAATTTGGCCAACAGACACAAGCTTTGACAATATACTTTAAACTGGCTACCATCTGTTTCCCAAATAGATAAAGTTCCTTTGCGGTAAATTTCTTTTCCTGGAGGTTGCCTTGCAGTACATTCACTCTGCTTTAAAAGAAGAGATTTAGGAAAAATTGAAGAGAAATTTTAAAAATATAACTAATATTTTCAAAATAAGCATTTATCTTACCATGTGATACCTGTAGGTTTTTTCAAGCCTCATGTATTTTAAACAGTATTCGCAAATCCATAGCTTTGGCTGCTTCCCATATTCATCCGGGTAAGGGCTGAAATACCAAGTGTCAATTTCATACCGCCCAATTTGAATACGATCAATGTATTTAACTTTTGTTATTGCTTCATGTTCTTTTTCTAAGGCGGCTGTTGTTGGATCCATCTCAGCGTACGTCTAAAAATTCAATGGTAAAGAAAAAGTGATAGTAGGCTTGACTTGCACAGGAGAGGTGGAGGCAACACCATGTTCACAAATAAAACCTTTTGAATGTGGTTAATTTCATCATGGCGTCTCTTCTGGTTTCTTGTGATTTTTCGGTCTGACTGATCCGCAAATAAATCACCTGTTCTCTGGTCATTCTTCCACTGGTGGTCTGACATGTTAAAGCGAGAGAGCATGATCCTGCAACACACAATAGTCAAGGGGAAATGTCAGTATGAGATGATATGCATTCAGAATTGCCAAGAGCACAAAATTAAGGGGGAAGGGCGAAATGACCCACCGATCCCGAGGTATCCATTCATCAAGTCTTCTATTATAACCTTCGTAATGTACGTAGTAGTCATATTGGTTTTCTTGTTCATTGAAGCGAGATTGAATGATTTCAGCGGGATCTGAAACATGAAGGAGAGAGGGAGTTAGGACAAAATCTGCTTCACCTTGAAACACGACCCTGTTCGTGCGACGATGCTAGGTACAGGGTGTTTTCAACACAAGCATAGGGAAACATAACCTCCAAATTGACCAAACAAGCAGTGAACCCGGCGATAAACTAAACAAAGACGGAAATACAAGTGTCCGCTGCCAACATGGTACGACGACCGATAGTCGCTGCTTCGTACTGGCGACCAGCTCGCGTTCGCTGTCACGAAAGTGAAACGCAGTGGACGGTCCTTAAGAGGGGTACCTTAATTGTGACTTAACATTAAGCGCATACTACAGTTCAGCGTCTCCGGTCCTCTTAAAATCCCACCGCTCTCTAGCCAGTGTCCGGGCTCCAGTTACGACGGAAGATTCGACGGACATGCGCTGATGCAATCCCAGTCGACATGATGCAACGCTTGTCCCTCTCCGAGACGCCGACGCCGTGGTCCGGCACGCCGCGCCGCGGCGGCGGCGTCGGGACGCCCAACCCTTCCCTGCCCAACCACTGGCGCCACCCCCTGCCCGGGACACTCACGCCATGTGTCGTCCCCTCTGCGGACGAGGTAGTGCTCGCCGATGTCCAGGGGCTGCTCGTCGAGCGAGTCCCCGTCCTCGCCGTCCAGGGTCTTGCCGTCGGACGACGCACTCTCGGATTTCTTCTCGACCTTGGACACCATGGCTTCGACCGGCGGGCACCGCTGGAGCGCGAGCGAAGTGAGTGAGACGATTCGCGGTCGCAGTCCGGCACGGCAGGTTTCTCACCGCGCCGACAGCCGACACCACACTGAAGCTGAAGCTGAAGAAGGGAAGGAAGGGGAGGAAAAGAAGAATGGGACAGATCGAAAGGGAAAGGGGGTGGGGGGAGCGGATGTGAGCGGAGTAATCTGACTGGTGTATTTCGCATATCCATACTTGCCGAGGAAAAGAATGCTTATGACGGTGAGTGATAAAGCGCGTATACTCAAAAACGGCACAAGAGCGCTTTGAAACATTTTGATAATAAAATAAAGCGGAGGGAACTTGTTGAAACTACACTTGACTAATTCAAATCTTCCGAAAGTGCAATTTCCCATCCGCTGCTCGAAACCTCACTCGATCCCGTTTCCCTTCCCTTCCCTTCACTTCCCTTGCGCTTCTGCTACAAAAAGCAAGTAGGACCCCACATCACAAATTGTGTTTGTCAACGCAGAAAATTTAAGTTTCTGAACGTTTTAGACAACTCTAGGTACTGTAAATTGATGTAAGAGCATATTTTTTGTAATTTCTGTTAGTTTCCTAATTGTTAATTTTCTTTCTTTGTCGCAGACTACTGTTTCTTCCTAGATAAGAAGACAGTTGGTCTTTGGGAGCCGGTTTGAAATCTCCCCTTTCCACTGTTGCTTCTAACACTCACACTGTGTAGGGTACCTCACCATGGCACTTGCGATATCACAAGAAAGCTTCGATCAGGTAGTTCGCGAGAATGTGGAAGACTTGGATATGGCATTGGAGGAGGCTGCTGAAGATGCTATACAGCAATTCAAAGCACAGGTTAGTTTACTTATTTTTTTGACAGCTTCAGACGGGCTAACAAAATTTCTCATTTAAAATAAAAACTACTCCAATTGTATCCAGGGTGTTGATCTTGGAAACATCATTACAAACCCAATCATGAGGAAAGAAGCTGAAGAGGAACTTCGTAGCTGTCTTACACGCTTGGCAGATATTAAAAGCGGGGACCTCAAAGAACATGATTTTGAATCCGATCTTCAGATTATCAGGAAGTGGTGTGACAAAGGCATCCAGTTTAGGTATGACGTTTACACTTTTTTCGTCATTCTCCATTTCGCTCATTGTTTTGTTTTTGTGTGTCATCCATGTGCCGGTTTGTTCTACAGGCTTCTTGCAGGCAGTTTGGGAGCTTATAGTATTTTGATCAACATTCTCAACCAATTCCTTGATGTTGATCAGAAAAATCTACTAATCTTAAAGACTCTTAATTCACTTATGACAGGTAAATACCACCCTTTCGAGCCCACTTTCAAAGTAAATTACTGTTATGAAGTGAATATTTTACACTTTGCCCTCTCTTTGGTCAATTTTAGGCTATCCTGATCTGTTAGATGATGTCGGAGTTGAGTCATTGATATCCATTATTTCAACTTCAAAAACTGTGGCCACTCTTGCAGCAGCATTACAGTTCATGCAAACATGCTGCCTTAAACATGAAAAAAACAGACAAGTTTGTTAATTTCTTCTATTTTTCTTGTGTGTTAAGGCAGGAACATGGAATAGATATATTTTTTAATTTTCATATTTCAGAGATTTGCAAACAAAGAAATCCATGACATAATCTCTTCTCTCTTGGCTCATCCAAATTGCTCTGATTTTCTTGTTGAAATTTGTGACGTGATAAAAGCTCTAACTCTGGATGACGATATTCGAGAGCAAATAAGCAGGGCCCATGAGCATGCACGATTAATGGCCGTTAAAAACCTGTGCACTTTGTGTGAGTTATTGGGCAGTAAGTATCAATCCAGTAACACTTGTAATGATATAGGGTAGTTCCCGCTTATGCACCTGATCCTGATAATAGCCTATGTGTTACTTGAGGTTTATATTTTAACTATTTATCTATCTTTAGAGCATAAGAATGATACGGACATTGTTCCCCACATACTTGGAGCCTTATCAGCAATCGTTGTCCGAAATGAATTTTGTGAAAAAGTTGATGAAGCTGGGGGTATTATTCATATATTAGATATTCTAGCCTCCCATCCTGATATAGAGGTTTGTTGTTTTAGATTTAAAAACCAATAACTTGTTAATGCCTTACTCTGTTATTTTGGACTAAACCTCATTCTATCCCTGAACAGAGAGTGAATTCTCAGTGCTTACGAATGATAAAAGTTTTGGCAGGGAATGACGACGTTAAGTCTCATCTCATGCACTCTGGAGCATCACCCCTGTTGCTAGCAGCTATGTCTCGTCACAAGGTACTCCATTGAAAAATCCATTATTTCTTGATTCAATAAAAAGGACAAATTCAGGCAACAGTTTTTAACCCCTCCCTTATAAATGTTTGACTTTTTCAGGGAAGCAGTCTTATTTCATCAGCAGGCTGTAGCTGCATTGCTGCTCTGGCACTGAGGAGTCCAGAAAACGCTCAGATCTTAGTGGACAATGGGGCTGCTGATGCTCTAGTTGATGCATTAAAAATTCATAAAAATGGCAATATTCAGGTATGTATTTCATTTCTTGTTTCTCATTTTCAACTTTATGCTCTATTCTAAATTTGAGACTGTTTCTTCAGAGAGTGGCTTGCCTTGCAATCCGAAACCTGGTATCCCGCAACAAACAACTTTGCAAAATCTTCATATCCTTGGGTGTTGAAGATTTACTGAATTCAGTAGACAAATCAGCCTGCTGGGATGAAGCCAAAGCTGCTTTGAGAGATTTGGGCTGTACCGTGAAGCTTGATGAGCCATTCACGGGGAAAGGCATAAAACTCAAGAACTGAGATACCTCTGTGAAAAATGACTTGTGCATCACAATATTTCACATTTCCAGAAGGCAGAATATAAGGAAGAAGAATAGTACCTATTTACTTTTTTTTCACATCTTTATTTACAAAATGTTGCCCCTATTAACAATGAATGCATTTTTTGTTG